GTCAATTACTTCAGATTTTAAAAAGACATATCAAAAAATTAGATGATTCTGTATTTTATTCAGTTCTAATCTTTGCCCTGAAGAGGAAGGAATAAATTTGAAGAAACAATTTTCTTGTTAAAAAAAGAGGTTGGAGGACTGTTTATCATTTCTGTCAGCAAACTTTTCACATATAAAATATTTTTTCTAAAATAACACTTAAAACTCTCTAATATCTCAAAATAGATTGACCCCTCCCCCAGTTCCCAGAGTAAGGAATCCTATATCCCACTATATTTGGCACAAATTATAGACACACTTGAGTTTCATTAGTATAAACATGGTAATGAATCACAGTAATGTAGTTTCATTGATGTAAACAAAGAAAATAAAATAATTAGTCAGATTTTCCTTTGAAAGACTGTTTTGAAAATAGGCATATCTTTTTCCACCGAAAAAGAAGTTTTGCCAACTCTAAGGTACACTATGTAATGAGAAACACTGCATACTGCAACAACATCTATCTTAACTGTATACATTACTCCTGTAATACTACCTTATTTATCATTTTAATGTTTCCAGGGTAAGACATAGAGTTGTTCTTTGTCTTTAAGGCTATTGCATTACTTCTGAAGAATGTGAAACAAGGCAGAAAACTGGAATCAGCACAGCACGTTTTACACAGATCCAACCAAACTCACAGTCATCTCATGCAAAGGCTACACACTTAAAACACAGAACTAAAGGTCCTATTACAAGGAACAAGGCATTTGTGTGAAGAAACCTTCAAGAACAAGATCACATCTGCAAAAACTTCCGTTGGAAGTCTCTTAATCTGATCCACAAATGCCTGCATTGGAAATAAATATTAAGTTTCTTTATACTTCATCCAGAGATAAAACACACATATTCTTTAGATTCTGTGAAAAAAAAAAATCAGATATTTTCATTATTTATTTGTAGATTATACATAGCTTGGGCTCTAAAACATCATAGCAATGCAAGAAACAAGCACTAAAGCATCTATCATTACAGAAAATTCACTATATCCACCACCTTACACAGCCAGACATGAGCCAGTTTCAGACTGGAAGCCATGCAACCATACTGGCATAGCACATTAGTCAGTCTAGCAAGTCCAAGATCTCAACAGGGATTATTAGTTTGAGCACAGCACTGCACTAACTTGCCTAGATAGCTTCCAGTCTGCCAAGGGCTCACATCCCACTGGCTCAGAGCCACACACACACATAGAGACAGACTTATTTAGAGCAACGTGGAGAACCATTCAGATACAGAAGGCTCCACTTAAACATTCTTCATTCCACTACTACAAGTCTTCATATTAGCAAGTCAATCCAGATCTACTCAAACTACAGCTACTTTATTCTGCTTTGGCATAGCACACTAGCCAGTACTCCCCAGAAAGTTTGATTTAGTGTAGGTACCAAAATGTTGCAATCATTCCAAATTAAAAACAAAAGAACTGAACTTTATTAAGATGTCCAAATAATTCTACACAGGTTCAGATCATTGAAATAGAGAAATATAGCAGGAGTAGGTAATACCTTCTTCAAGTGTTCCATCTAGCAGTCTCCCAAAGAGAAAATGTATCCCATGACAAAAGGTTATCTAAAAACTAAAATAATCTTTCTGGATATGGATTGATATTAAGGAGGGGGAAAGGCAGTCATTGAAGCCTTTAGTTTCTTCAGACCAAGTACTATTAATTCAAAGAGCCAATACACTCATTAAAAGAAACCAAATTAGAGTTATGGATGGAGATAGACTACAACATTACCCAAACAACATTCATTCTGTCTTATGACAGTACAACAAGCAGAACAAATGCATAAAAGGAATTACAAATTTTTAATCATAAGCATTAGGTGCCTTAGACATACTGTGTGCTATTTCATGGCCTTACTGAATACATAAAAAACATGTAAGAGCAAAACCAGGAATGTGCATTTTTTGATTCAACATTCCAAAACACATTCAGTGGCACAGAGGACGACTGCACGTTCCATCACTGGTTTCATACTCCCCTCCTGAGATCCAGTGCTGACAATAAGTAAAAACTGCAAGCATAACTTCATGGGTTATGGTCACAAACCACAGCCAGTTATATAAATAAATACATAAATATGTGCATACAACAGTTGGGGGAGGGCAAGAGACTTCACTCTAAGGGAAGGAGCTGGGTAGACAAATCCTGGAGATCTGACATTTTCTACAACACAGGAAACTCTAGCATAGACACTATTTCCTTTGATGTTTCTTATCTGTTCTAAGATCACTGATGTGTCACCTTTAAGTGCAATACTTTAAGTATCTTGTAAATCACAGACCTGTCAGGATGAGATTTTTAACTGCAGAAGTGAGTCAGTTTAAGGTAGTTCAGTAGCATTCAAAATTAACAAAGTGCCATTTCTGACCTATTGAGTTAAGAGAAGCCAAGGAGAATCAAAAACGGTGAGCAGCTAGCAGAGGGGCTCCCTGCTTGCTGGAAGCTGTAGGTAGCATTCATTCTTTCCCTCCCAGTGTATAGGGAGTCTCCAAGACCACCTGGCCCAGTCAGGCAGAAATGGCAGTAAAATTCAAAGCAGCTCACCCCACCTAAAAAGCACAGCACTACGTTCTAAAAAGAAATGTCTTGAGAGGGCTAATCTGGCATTCAAATGTTGGACATCACCCGCTTTAAACAATATGTTTTATGTAAGCAGAAAACAAAACCATACCCTGTTTTCTACATTCCCACAATCTTGGATTACTTAGGTTACTGGCACAAAATTGCAGCTTTCTTCAGCACAGTCAGCCTCATGGGTCAGCTTGATTCCTTTGAAATATTATTAGTTATAGTTTCTGAAATTGTAACTGTAACTGTCTTCCACAGAAACGTTTGTGAAATTCCCTAGAATGAATCCAGGCTATTTCATTTGTCCTTGGTGTTATTTTTTTCTTTCCTTCATTTATAAAGTTTTTGTTTTTAATTTTACAATGACATTAAAAAGGCTGCAAATAATGATTATAACGCATGACACTGAAATCAGTACCCATATTCCCACCATAACTTTCATACACACACTCCCCACAGTACAACATTTTCTAAAACTCTGTACCCCTTTCTGGTGACTGCAGCTAATCTTCAGAAACAGAGCCATAAGGCAGGAATGGACTTAAGAACTAGACTTCAGCCTGAGCCAGCTGTTTTTTCTAATGTTATTCCCTTTATGACCATCTGTCCCACCTGCTAATATATTTTTCCCCTCACACAGACCCTTCACTACAATGATTTGCCATTCTGGCTGACATACAAGTGCTGATGGAAAGAAAATGGGATTAAATCCAACTTTGTGCCACCCAATATTTGGAACTTTTGTAAGGTACCTGCTTGAATGCTGATATAATTAAAACTGCCTTAAGTCTCTTTTGGTTTATGTCCAGTTCACCTACAACCCAAACACTGTCAGACAACTGAAACACTGTGTTTTTAAATCCACTAGCACACTCTACTGAATTAATTTACTGAGATTTATCAGTTTTGTCTTATTTATTAAGGTGAATTCACAAAGCAATTCTGCACTCCATACTTGTGAATTCTTGTGGTTTCAAAACTGGTTGAATGCCCCTTTTTTTGTCAACGTCATCCTAAATTTTCCTTCTTGGGCAAAATTGCCAGAGAGACACACTGCAAAGAAAAGAGGAAGAGAAGAACTGGGAAAGGCTAAGAATGAGGAAAAAGAAAAGTGGCATGCTGCTACATGGTGAAATTCTGTAGTCAAGGTTTCTCAAGAATTCTTTGTTATCTTCTATGAGACTAGCGCCATAATAAATCTTATTAAGGAGTCAAACATATTTTCTCCAGTGCCTGTTTTCCACACCTGGTTAAAGCCTGGCAACTAAAAGAGAAAAAACAACTTAAGCATAAATAGGGAGGCTGCACAGCAGTGACGCTGCCCAAAAAGTCAGAAAGAACATGACAGTTACAAAGTGTATCATTATAATTTCATCTTATGTAGTGCTGACAATAATCAGCAATAACAGGAAGAGAGCTGCTGAAAAAGCACAAGTGAGGTCACCTTTTTCTAGGTACTATTTTTAAACAGCTGCAAAATATAGATGAGGCTTTTCAAAGGCTGTAAACCCATGAAAAGGGAGGGGTGGCATTACAGATGTGTGACATAAGGAATAAAGGCCAAAGAAGTATAAAAGAGAGGCAGAAAAAAAAGGGAATGAAGACAGAAGGTAGGATGCAAAGGAGCAGATGCTGACGGGCTTTACATTTCCAACAGAAAATTGAAAGTTGACATCCATGTCCATACAGTGTTTAAAATGAGCTCTTTAGTAACTAGCACCACATCCAGGAAGGAGGCAGAGAAGAAGAGTGATATCTTAACTGAGCTGAGTTCCAAGTATAAAATGAAAATAAAGAACGAGGGATTCAATTTCATGTCAGTTCCTGGCAGCTGCTCAGCATTGCTTATTATCACAGCCCTGCTTGCTTGTTGAGTGCTGATAATGTGCCAGAGCTGTGGTGTGCTTTGGAGTCCTTCTGAGATCCTTAGCTCTGCAACTTTGAGACCAGATGGAAAAAACTTCTTTTGAACACCATTCATAATGCCAAAGTTTAACTAATAATGGAATGTCACATAGACTTTATTTGGGAAAAAAACCTTAATGGGGGAGAATTAATCTTTATTTCTAGTGCTTTTGAAGCAGATCAGAGCTAAAAATAAAATAACTTCTACCATTTTAATTTTTGCTTAATGACTGTTGAACTTTTAGCTAGCACTTGAAACTATAATAAGCTTCTTCTTGTAACATTCTTAATTTCTACATAGAAAATATTTTCAGCAAATGCAACTTACAGGATTATTTAAAGTTATTTGCAGAATTATAACATTCAAGTGTGTCAGTACCTATGAACACCTGCACAACAATCACTGCCATGTTACAGATGCTGTCTGGCACCAGCTACTGAAACACTTCAGACATTCATCTTTTAGCAAACAACATACCTTGAAAGATTCAGTCATGTGCTTTCCTGTTTCTCCTGAACATCCTCCAGCTGTGCACTCATTCTGACAGCCCTAGAGGAAATAAAAATGGAGGAAATCAAATTCAGTGCACACTGCAGAAAAGTTGACGTACAATCAGTTAATTCTTTTTAGGGGCAGATTGTATTGAATGATCACTCAGGCTTCAGCAACAGCAGATATATTAGAAAGAATGTTTTGGCAGTTTCTTAGCACAGCTTTCAGCCTTCTAGGACTTAAAGTTTTATTTTAGTTGCATTATTTTGTGCAACTGTATTTTGGGGCTTGATAGGAGAGGTGTCTTAGATTAGATTGTATCTCTGAAGTGAGGAGGTGTATGGGCATCATCACAAGTCCTTCATTCAAAGATGAATAAATGAATTGTGTCTTTACACAATTCCATTAGATTCCAGTTTCTCTCCTAAAACATTCACCTAACAGATTTTCTTTTGTTTTCTCTGAGAAGCTTGACTAGGCAGAATGGAAGAAAAAGGGAAAGAACTTTTTTTGTTAAATCCTTCATTAAATGAAGACAGGAAATACCCACCTATGTAAATATATAATCAGCATATTTTGAATTATCTATTATGTTGAACTTAAAGGTTCTGCCACCAACCATGCTAGAAAGGAACTGAGAAGGAGTGGTAGCTCTAGGCATCCTTTTGTTAAGCTACAGAGGGATAATGGAGACAGGTGCAAGGCACCTACCTAACAGCAAAATCTCCAATTTCCACAGCAGCAGGCTGGCACCTTTGTGAACCCTCCTGCACCCAACAGCATGGAGCAAAGGAGACAAATACAGTCCTGACAGGACTTCCTGTTTTCGAGCAGCCTTTAAGAAAGAGCTGGAGAGGTGAAGTGAGGAAAGAGGGAGGAAGGTGCCAGGAGCAAGAGTCTGGGGGTGGGCAGGAGGATGCCTTAAGGGAAGTACACTGGGCAAGTTGGGGGGAATGGCAGATGGGATGGCTAGCTGCTGAGATGAGGCCAGCAATGTGTGGGCATGGGGAAACAGGCTGGTTAGAGAGAGCTGCTGTCTAAGGGGGTGAAGGAAAGACAGAGGCACTAAGGGATGTTATTGCCAGGGCTGACAGGCCAGTGGCTTTCACCCCTACAAGGGAAAAACCCTAGCAGGAGTCTGCAATTGGCTGCTTACCACTTGGTGGTTGCCCCTCTCCCTGCCAACCCTCAGTCTTGCTGCATCTTGATTGGGAAGGCCCCAGGTCAAAGGTATAATCTGAAGGAAAGGGGTGCACAGGAAACCCTTCATGGTCTGCTGTGAGATCACTGCCCCAGGCTCTTAACCAGGCAGGTCTCTCACCGTACAAGGAGAGCTGTGCATAGGTGGATGTCCGTGCCCGGGAGACACCAGCCACCACAGTCCTGCAGCAACCACCAGGCTGCGGGGCCAGGGCAGGGAGCGCATGGCTCCATGCCTGTGAAGCATGACAGAAGGCAAAGAACACATGTTTTGCAGATCTTGGGGATATGGGAGATGCAGAGGTGGGAGGAGGGGGGAACAACTGCATCTTCAGGGAGCATCTGACAGATACCAAGCTTGCTACCAACAAAAGAAAAAGCAAGCTTCCAACAGATCTCATTTCCTCTCCCCTCCTCCTCAACGCCCCAGGGAGGCCAAAACATCCCTCCCACCTTTTCTCACCATCAGCTTTGACTCTTTGGTCTCTCCCTTTTCCCTAACCCTCTGCAGTGACACGTGCAACCACGGCTACAGGCTCCTTCCCAACAGCCAAAGGAGGAGCTGCAGAGAGAAATCACAAATCTCTTTACAACATACCAATATGCTTTACCTTAAAACCGTATTAAAAATAGGTTTTATTTGCCTTAAAACTTAGGATTTTTCAGTCCACAGAGATGAGATTTTGGTGGATCGTTCAATGGTATTTAGGTGTCAGACCCCAGCAGGACTAAGGTGTTATCCAAACTGAAGTCTGAACTAAGCACTGTATAATAGGTCCTTGTTCTGCATGTAATTCTTCAAATACTCCCAAACTCGGTGGTAAAATCCCAGGTGGTCTTCATGACTCTATCAGTTTATAATAGTTAAGTATTCTGCAGACGAATCAAGCCAACTCATCTTTCTTTGCAGTGTTGTGAATGAAGATGGAGAGAGTGCTGGTTACCAGCTGACAGGGTGGTAACTGCCAGGTGTGGAGCAAGACCTTCTCAGGCAGCTCCAGCTCCACTGCTGGCTTTTGCCTAATATCTAGTATGCAAAGATTTCTAATAATAATTACTGTCGACAGCAAATACTGACAAATAACCATTATGCTCCAGTTTCTCCCCATTTCTGCTTTATGAAGTTGTCCTAAAGCAAGTGTTGGCTTTGACAGAGAGAGGACCAAAGCTGGATACAGTTTAATATTCTCTTTAATGATCTTTAAAAATGTACAAAAATTGTATGGGAATTTCACGTGAGGATCACCCACACCAACAGTCCCTAGGGGCTCGATCGTGTTGCCCTTCAGCAAAAGGTTCCCACTGAACTCAGTGAAGTCAACAGCCCATTTCTTGGGCATGTGCCATGTGGCCAATCCTGTTCTCCATAAATTCATTATGCTTTACATATTTAACTAATATTTAGAGCAAATAGCTAACTGCCTTTGTTAGCCATGCTTAGATTAAATTGAGTTAATCCCTCAGCGCTAGAAAGACATACCACAATTACATTCTAATTGATGGAGTCATATTTTAATGGCTCCATGGTTTTTATATCTGAAATGTTAAATGCAACAGGGAAAAATTAATCCCTGGTTTAATGCCAGTGTTACCATGGGAGATATACCAAGCATAAATTTGCCATTCGTGTTTAATAGCATGGTAGATTTTTAACTGCATCCATTAAAACACTGATGTTATCTTATAGCTGCATTTGAGCCACTGGGTCAGTGTCTCCTCAAGAGCCACTCAACTCTCTATCAAGTTGCTATGCAATTACATAAGCATTAACAATATATCCCATGTTGTGCTGCAGACCTAACAACATTTTCTTTATGATATATGTAACTGCCTTTTCTAAATTGGAAATAGGGCAGTATTTAGAGTTTTTCTTCAAAAGTATTGAAATTGCACATTGATTTTATTGTTACTGCAAAACCTGTATGAGAAAAAAACCTGTAAAGCACTACACTAGATTAAATTGTTTCAAAATGGGGTTTACAGGTCATTGTATCACTAAGAAATGCTAGTAAAATAAAGACCTTATAATGAGTAATTCTGTCTTCAGTTTTGCAGAAGATCTCATTGCTATAACAACCCTTGCAAATCCTTTAATGTTTATAGAAGTAATCACAGTATGCTCAGATAATAGTGGTTCCTCACCATAGTACTTCCAATCTAACTCTTATAAGACATATGCATTTTCAATGTCTTTCAGCATCAGGATGCTCCAGTCAATGCTCATCTTTTAGGGTAACCTCCTTCATTTCACAGCTTCTTCAAAACAGAGCTTCTTCTGCCTCTTCCCTGCAGTCAGATCACTAGTCCCTCAGCTGAAAGGACCTTCTGCTACAAAACCAGAAGTATCTCCTCCCTAAACTCCCAAGACACCCTAGACTACATGAGTCTGCTTTAGTTTTTCCTCCGCCCTTACACTCAGTGGGGCTTTTGAAACCCAGTGGTGACACCAATGATTTTGTTCTTATTTGGGATTATCTATTCTACAAACTGAAATGCTACCAGATATTTCATCAAACTGCTGTTCTTAGTTCTTAGCTACTCCTTTATCCCATAGGCTCATCCTTAATTATGATATAGGAACTGAAGCTTCATCACTGTAATTTTACACTGCAGACTGCACATCTTTAATATTATAAGTTATCATTTAATGAAAAAAAAAAAAATTGAACCAGTTATCAAAAAAAATTTTTCTTTTTTTTTTGCAGTTACATCTATACACCGTGTTCTTTGTCACCCTTTTTCAAAGAAATCCAATTCTTTAATCAGTTCTGTATTCACTTAATTTTCCTTGTTCTTTAATAACTCTTCTCCCCACTGGGGACCAGAAAATTCTTCCTAGTAGAAGGTAGAGAGTAAAGAAATAAATTGAAAATAACTTCTACATAGTTCACACTTTCAGCAATGAAATCAAATTGGCTGCTTTCTAAAACGACTCAAAAGCTACAGTTTCACAAAATCTTTAGTCATCTTTTTGGTTTCACCAGTGCATGTTTATCCAAGTCAGCCCTCAGACAGCTCTGATGTCTCTGTTTTGCCTGAAAACTTCAACAGCATCAGTGTTGCTGTTAGAATACTACCAATGTCAGGGAACACCTGAAAACCCAGTTTCATCCCCATGAAAGAGTTGTAGACCGTGCTTTGTTGGCAGATATTGGCTATTCATGGAGGACAGGAACCTAAAGCAGCAAAGCAGCCACAGATACACAGCTATGGTTGCATATAGTTCCTTCTACTGAGGCAACCCCAACTCCTGCTATACAGAGAAACTGAAAACCAAGACTGTCTTGCAGCAGTCGTCAAGCCCCAGCAAAGATGAAGTGGGAGTTTCCTCTCAGTGAGAAGACATGAAAACCACTTTTCAATGAAGAAAGTCCTTTCTGAGACTTTTCTCCAAGCCAAAACAAAATTAAAAGTCTTACTGTTCTTCCCTCATGCTTGCTTCTGGCTATTAAGTGCCTAAGTAGTATTTCATGCTCTAATTTACAGGAACCTGACAGATCAATAAATCCAATACATAACTTATGCTATGGTAAAGCCTACAGGCAAGCTAAATCAGATGTGTGATGACAGGTACTTCAGCACTCAAAGCCACAGAAATCAGAGTTGCCTTTCTGTTCCAGGTACAGAGTCCAACATGCACAAATGCCACATATTCTGTGTATTGCTACAGTCATATAAAACACTTCCAAACAGTTTTTGTCTTCCACTAGGAAATCTTAATACAATTTGGCAGCCACTCCACATAGAAGACGAATTTGCAGGGAAAAAATAAAAAAAAATAAATAATAATAATAAAAAAAGAAAAACCAAAACAGTAATGACGTTCATAGCTTTAAAAAAAAAAAAAAGTCCACCCACTGTCAGACAGAAAAATTCTGCATATTGCTGTAGGGCCAAATCATATAATTCTATTTTTAATATCAACTAAAAAGATATTTTCTTAATCACATTTATGAACAGTTTCCAGAGCTCAGGAAGCTCATTTATGGAGTCCAACAGCCAGGCATGTTTACCTCAGCTGTCATGGGAGTAGCTGCACAATACAAAAATATTTTAATGCTGTCTTTAAATTGCATGCATGTGAACATGACATACACATATGCATTACCATGCAAGTGTCTCCAGATGTGTTCATTGGGCTGGGTCACCTCCGTGACAGTGTGGCACATTTTATCCAAATAACTTCTTTTAAATTTACTCCTTTCAAAATCAGGACATAAAGAGCAAGAAGACTAATTCTTAAATTGTATTTCTAACCACTTATCAAGCCAAATGGAGATCTTTGAGTTATCTTTTGTTTGTTTGGTTGGAGCACTCTCCATCTATTGGCTTGCCAGTCTTCAATAGTGAATTCAAAGACCATGTACAGCACAAATCTGAAAGCAGCTCCAAAGACAAACCTCAACGTATATATACACAGATCAGCACTGGGGGAAAAAAAAAAGCACAATTTGGGTATATGCCATTTCAGTGCTTAGCTTCATACTTAGTTCACCAAGAACTTTCATGCATCTCTTTAAGACTACTCATAGCTAACATCTCTGCCCTGATGCCTTGTCAGCTGGGTGTTATCACCTTACTGTGGCTGCTTGTTCAGCCTTGAGCTGGCGTTAGTGTTGGTTAAACACTAAGGCAGTGTAATAACAGTACATAATAAAGAAAAACACAAGGCAACTGGCACAGCAGAAGAAGAAATCTTCCACGTTTTTTAATGATAATTTTGCAAGAGACTGAAAGCATCAGAGTTTAGAACATATAACAGTTTCTCAAATAAAGAAGGCTGCATTGTATAAAGTAAGGTTGAATTTAAATCTATTATAATTACATTAGCACAAAAGACTGTGCGGGCATGTATCTTCTGGCTTAAGAGGTTTATCTGGTTTAATTTAAAGCAATTTAAGTAGCTTGAATAAAACTGAATTATGCTCCTCTTAATAAAATCACTATTTTATATATGGGACCTGATAAGATCCATCCCAGAGTCCTGAGGGAACTGGCTGACGCAGTTGCCAATAGTAATGGGCCATGGTGCCATGTCCAGCTGGAGATGGGTGAAAAGTGGTGTCACTCAGGGGTCCCTGATGAGACCAGTACTGTTAAATATCTTCATCAATGATACAGACAATGGGATCGAGTGCACCCCTGGCAAGCTTGCAGATGACACCAAGCTGAGTGGTGTGGTCAACATGTCAGAGGGACGGGACGTCATCCAGAGGGACCTGGAGA